AAAAAAAAAAAAAATAATAGAAACTGTGGTATGTACATAAGACAGAATACTACTCAGTCATAAAAAGGAATGAATTAATGGCATTCACAGCAACCTGGATGGAAATGAAAACCATTATTCTAAGTGAAGTAACTCAGGAATGGAAAACCAAACATCATACGTTCTCACTCATAAGTGGGAGCTAAGCTAAGAGGATGCAAAGGTAAAGAATGATACAATGGACGTTGGTGACTCCAGGGGAAAGAATGAGAAGGGAATGGCTATAAATTGGGTTCAGTATATACTGCTTGGGTGATGGGTGCACCAAAATCTCACAAATCACAACTAAAAAACTTACTCATGGCCGGGCGCGGTGGCTCATGCCTGTAATCCCGCAATTTGGGAGGTCGAGGCGGGCGGATCATGAGGTCAGATCTAGACCATCCTGGCTAACACGGATCTTTACTAAAAATACGAAAAATTAGCCGGGCGAGGTGGCGGCACCTGTAGTCCCAGCTACTCGGGAGGCTGAGGCAGGAGAATGGCGTGAACCCGAGAGGCAGAGCTTGCAGTGAGCCAAGATCGTGCCATTGCACTCCAGCCTGGGCGACACAGAGAGACTCTGTCTCAAAAAAAAAAAAAATCATGTAACCAAATACCACCTGTTCCCCAAAAACTTATGGAAATAAAAAATAAAGTTTTCATAAGGTTCGATTTCTTTTTTTTTTTTTTGAGACGGAGTCTCGCTCTGTTGCCCAGGCTGGAGCGCAGTGGCCGGATCTCGGCTCACTGCAAGCTCCACCTCCCGGGTTTACGCCATTCTCCTGCCTCAGCCTCCCGAGTAGCTGGGACTACAGGCGCCCGCCACCTCGCCCGGCTAGTTTTTTGTATTTTTTAGTAGAGACGGGGGGTTTCACCGTGTTAGCCAGGATGGTCTCAATCTCCTGACCTCGTGATCCGCCCGTCTGGGCCTCCCAAAGTGCTGGGATTACAGGCTTGAGCCACCGCGACCGGCCAAGGTTCAATTTCTTAAACTGAGTAGGATAATCAGAGTTGTTCATTATTCTTTAAACTGTTCCTGTGCATTTTATATATATTTGGTATGTATATTTTACACACTCACACAAACACACACAGGCACGGGGGCACTTGCAAAGAAACACCTGAACAAATACTCTCCAGCTGACCCAGTCAGTGCCTGATGGGAATGCTGCTCTGCAGTGATGAGGGAGTCGCAAGCAAAAGATGTTCATCTGTGATGTTTCAGAACACGCACATCTTGCACGGCTAGAAGAAAATTAGGTCATCTCCCCATGTAACAGACTGTGTCCCTTATGAAGAATCTCTTTTTAAAATCCTTATAAAATCGTTTACCTGAATTTCTTCAAAGCCCAGCCAGCCCACATCCCAACTTATCCATACACAGGGCCTCTGACCATCTCTGGTCTGCCTGACATCACACTTAAATTCCTCTATGGCTTGTGAGAAAAGCTCATCTGACCTGATTAGATCATAAGCTCCAGTAATCACGGACATGAGTCCCCATGGGCCTTCAGTAAATCCAAGTGTGTGACTGTGATGTCTGTGGGGCTCCAGCTCCCCTTCTGCTCTGACCTTCTTGGCACTAAGGCAGGCTTGCTGCAGGCAGATGCCAGGTGTGTGAGGTGCGAAAGAAAGACCTCAGTCCCTCAATCTCTCCCGACCCCCTTTCACAAGTCTGTAGCCCAGGAAAAATGTGTAACATGGAGCCACCGGTGATGAGCTGTGTGATTCTGGAAAGTCACTTAGCAAAGAGACTTCCTGGTGCCCTCGTCTTTCACCTGTAAAATGGGATCATCGTGGTACCTACCTTCACTGCATTGTGAAAGTAATAAGAGTCAGTGTGTGTAAAGCAGACACAACAGGCCTGGCTTCCCAAGTGTTAACTACAATTTCAGGTCCACAACCCCTCACCTACAATTCCAAAAGCCAAATATGCTTTAAAAACTGAACTTTCTTTCAAAACTTTGCAACAAACTCTTTGGCAGCAAAACCTGGACTGACCTGAGGCTCTTCATAAAGTCTAATTGCTTATAAATATCCACACATTTTGCTGCAGAAATTATGTTTCATTAAGGGATGCATAGTATGACTGATAAAACTCAAATAGTCTGACTTCTTCCCCAGGTCCAGCCAGGTTTGGGTCAGGAAGCCTGACTTGTGTTACCATTTCACAGTTGCTCCACCTCTCGGCAGTTTACCACCTTTTCCTCCACTGTGCCTTAGGCTGGCCCCATCCACTTGCTAACATATAGACTGACAGCCTCCAGCCATTAGGGCATGAGCCCATCTTCACAGCCTACCAAGAGCTTGCCCTGGGTCACAACCCAACCGAGCTCTGAAATAAAATCAAAGTCATCCACAGCCCGGTCCCTAGCCTTATCCCCACCCAGTTCCGCCTGTAGGTTCAGACCACTCCCGAGGGCTGGTCCAGTCTCTTCTTGTATCCTGTCTTCCTCCGGTTCCCTACTCTGGCCTGACTGCTTTCTTCTTCTGTGCTGTGCCTTTTGCCTGGGTGCTATTCCCTGCCCATGGGATCCCCTGCAATGTCCTTCGCATCCGTCAGGCTTCCAATCAAGTCTTCTCTTATCACAGCTTTCACCACAATAGACTGAAATTAATAATCCATCTTCAGGTCGACCCCACCTCTGTATCCCAAGAAGGTAACATGGCATCTGGCATGCAGCAGGCCCTCAATAAATACTCGCTGAACCAAACTAATCATGCCACAGAGCCAAATGGCCACATTCCAGGGTATCCCATCCATCTCAACCTGCCGCAGACTTTTCATTTTCATCTTTACTATCTGGCTTTGAGACAACTATTTAGAAAAGAACCAGGAGCTCTTGATATATGCTTGACCCTAACTAAAATATACTCCTAAAAGAGTCTCTGAAACCATGCATAGGAAATATGTCAGTGAAGAGTCTAATAATTACAGTGGACTCAACCAGGACAGAGGGGGATACATAGTTAAGAAGCTCAGCAAAAACCCATTCTACCTTTCAGGAGTCTGCAGACTGTGCTCCCCAATTCTACCTTTCAGGAGTCTGCAGACTGTGCTCCCCAGGCCCTCCATCCTCTCACATGTGGCTCCTACATCTTTCTTGCCCTGCCTGAGACAACCAACAGAGGAAGGGGACATCGGTAGCCAGTGCCCCCACATACCAAGCAAACTCACAAAGGGAATAATGTCTAGACAGAGGCTGTTAGGCAGCCACACTATCACCTTTTCATTCCTTTGGCAAACATCTGAAGTATATACTGAATGCCAGGCATGTATGCATAAAATTGTAACTATGACAGGGCTAAGAAGGAAAGGAGGTGTTGATCAGAACCCATAAAACGGAAACTGACCTAGTCAGGGAGGTCAGAGAATACCTCCCTGAGGAAAAGATAACCTAATGGAGAGCTGCAGAAAGAGTAACAACTCCCTCAGCAGGCAGGGAATAGCACCCCAGGCAAAAGGTACAGCACAGGAGAAGCAAAGCAGTCCGGCCAGGGTAGGGAATCTGTGGGAGACGGTACAAGAGGCTGGACCAGCCCTGCAGAGACTTGAAGGCCCTGTTAAGGAGGCCTGTCTTTATCAGAGCAGTGGGAAGTTTAAAAAAAAAATTACAGGCAGAGCATAACAGAATGAAGGGTGCATGTTAACAAGCTGATTCTGGCTGCAGTATGGACAACTGAGTATGCAGGGCCCCAACGCTGATGAAGGGAGACGGACAAAAAGGCTATGGCAAAAGGGTGGGGCCTATGGAGAGAAATGGACACACCTAAGGAGGACTCAAAACGTGAAACCATCAAGTCTGGATAATTGGTTGAGGGGGTAGGGCAGGGGAGAAAGCTGATCAGGCAAGCCTCCTAGATTCTGGCACCCTATGGCTGGTGCACAGAGGTGCCACTCACCAAGCCCAGCAGCACTGGGAAGAGGAACGAGCAACACTGGGAGGAGGAGGTGGTCACGAGCTGCCCAGAGGTCCAACTGGGCATTCTCAACTAAACTGGTCCAGGCACGCGGCAAGAAAAAGCACCTTGGTGTGAGACCTGGAGCTCCCCAGGCCACTCTAAAGGGCCCTAGGGGGTTGGGAGGCGGGAGAGCTGCTGTTTAAAATGTAAATTTCTCCAAGGAAAGACAGGACAACCCAATGCTGTCTTGGCGCCTAAATTACAAAACGGAAATAGGTGAGAGTAGAGAAATTTGAATAAGGCCTGTAGGTGTTAATATCCTGGTTTTGTTGACTGTTCTGTAAAAAAAGATGTTAACCCCTACGAAATCTGGGCGAACCGTACATGGGAATTTTTGTTTGTTTTGTAACACTCTGAAATTCTGAAATTAATTCAAGATAAACATTATTCAAAAGACATTTTATACATCAGCACCCCAAAGCTCAGCCAGGAGCCTAACAGCTCAGAAGGGCTTTTGTGGGATACGGAGGAACTTCCTCCCCTCTCTTCATCTCAATAGCAAAAGGGAAAGAAGGGCAAACAAAGACCCTCAGAAACCTCAGCGCCTTCCCAGGCGGACGCAAAGTTAAGAACGACCCGGCCCCAGCGCGCCCCGGCGCGGAGCCGCCCCGCCCCGGGACCTCACGCGGCGTTCGCAGCTCGGCCGCCAGCCTCAGGCTGCCCGCCCCATTAGTCCCGCCCACCCCGCCCGAGCCTGACCTGGTCCCTCCCACCGCGCCCTTAATCCATCCCCCTTTAGCCCGACCCCGCCCTGGTCCCCACCCACCCCGCTCCGCCTCCTGCTCCGCCTCCCGCTCAGCAGGGCCCTCCGGCCTCGCACCCCAACCCGCAGAGGGAGCGCCCCCTTGCGGCCCTCGGAATCCCATTGTTCCTGTCCTGGTCCCGCCAGCCCACCGTGGACGCGGAGCAGTGAGGACGAACTCCTCCGGACGCCGTTGAGAAAACGCAACATCAAGGCCAACCGCTCCTGCACTCAAGCTAAGCCCTGCCTGCGGCGCGAGCACAATGATGCCTACCTGCCCTGGCCCAGACGGAGCCTCCCGAGCCCGAACCGGACCATGAGCCGCGCCGAACCGGAGCGCTACGCCTGCGTTGGCGTCGGGCGTCGCGGCCGCGCAACGTCCGGCACGAGAGCGCCCGCCGCACCTTGGCCCGCCTTCCACGCCACGCCCCCGAACCAGGCCACGCCCCGGCCCGAGCGACCATCGAGACTCCGGGACCTCCGCGGCGCCTAGAGGGATCCCGAAAACGCCTGCGAGGCCAGAACGGCCGAAATAACGTCTCCCACCCCAGCGGGCCGGCTCTTCCCGCCAATCTCCCTTATCCTCCCACCCCCGTCCTCCCTTGGAAACTTTCCTCGCTTCTAATCAGGAGAGCATGGGGACTTTCTAGGGTAGTGGTTCTCAAATGTGGCCCCAATCTAACAGCAGCTTCACCTGGGAAATTGATGGAACTGCAATTCTTGGGGCCCCACTCAAGGCCTTCTGAATCAGAAACTGAGGGTGTGCCCAGTAATCGGGCTTACCAACCCTGAAGGTAATTGTGGTACAAACTAGGGCTTGAGAACCACTGCTGCATGGCAGGGTTTCTTGACTTTTTGGGCCTGGATAATTCTTTGTTGAGAGGGAAGGAGGCTGTCCTGTGCATTACAGGAGGCAGGGTCACGGATAAAATACAGTTAAATTTGAGTTTCAGGTAACAGTGTTGTTCATCTAAGATTCACATTTAACTGGAAATCCCTGTATTTCATCTGGCTACCTTACCTACCTATAGTTTTACTTCGTAAAAATAACCCTAATTGTAGGATATTGAGCACCCCTAGCAACTAAGTGCCAGTAGCACACCACACTCTCTCCACTCTAGTTATGACAAAAGTGTCTCCCCCTACCCCTTGAGAATCACGGCTCTATAAGGACTTTGTCCAGCTGAAACCTAGTAGCCTATTAGGTATGTAGGACAGTGTACTCCACAGCAAACTGCCTTGCCCTGAAAGGCTTTGAACACAGAAATCCCTGGGACCAGACCCTGTTAACATTCAAAAAGAGGGCCACTTAGTGAAGACTTTGTATTTGCTTCTCCACCCTGACACTTCACAAATGTTATTTGGTCACTGTAAAGTGTGTTCCAAAACACCTGCATCAGAAGAAAAAAAAATCATGCTCATTTGTGGGATTCTGGAGCGAAGGGCACGTATAAGTTTGTCATCATTCATTCCACATATAAGCAATTTGAGGAGACAGATCATGAGCTCTGGGAAAATGGGAGTGCTACTCTAGGTGAGGTAGAGTAGTGTTTCTAACTTGCTTTGTTCCCCAGATCCTGTGTCTCATTCATTCATTCATTCAAGTGTTAAATGAGTGTCCTCTCTATGACAGTCACTCCTCTGGGCAGTGCTGTTAGAACAGTGAAAAAAATAAAGGCACAAGAGAAAAACCCTCTTGTCATGATGCTTACATTTCAGCGGGAGAACCATACAATAAACAAAATATATGGTGTGTCAAAGTGGAAAGTGCTAGGAAGAAAATAAAGGAAGCAAAGGGGACCAATAAGACTTGTGAACTCAGTTTTAAATAATTTGGTCAGGGAAGGTTGGTAAGTAAGAAGGTTGTATTTGAGGGAAAAGCCAAAGAATATGAAGAGCAAATTCCCCATGCAGAATTCAAGGGGGAAAATACTTGAAGCAGAAAGAATGGCATGTGCACATGCTCTGAGGCGAAGCAAGCCTAGCACATTTGAGAATGGCTGGAGACAAAAGAACGAAGAGAGTCAAAGAAATGAGGTCAAAGAGGGGGTGAGTTGAACAAGGAGTAGTAAGATACATATATAGTGTGCTTGCTGGCTGTTTCTTCCATACCTTTATGATCTAGAGAGAATTGTCACTGCAATTTGGATACTTGCATATGTAAAGTTAATAAAAAGATCAGGACCAAGTGTAAGTGTTTATGGAGCTGCAAAGAGCCCGTCTAGACATTTTCAGTGCATTGCTTTGAATAAAGCTACGTTTAAAAACAAAGTCAAATCTTTGAAAACAATGTCAAATTTTGGGTAGAATCGCAGAACTGCATAATAGGAATTGGGAAAAAACAAAACAAAAAACTTAGCCTGTTAAGCTAGAATCCTTTGAGGAAAATATATATTTTGAAGTTGTCTTTGAGAAATAGGCTAAATAAGCTTTAAGGAAAAAATTGGGGGGAAAATATTTAAATTATGTGTATTATGAGTAAATTTCATAAAAGCCTTGCAGCCTAGTTTGTTTATAGATACTATCTTGCTTTAGGGAGTTAACAAATTAAAAAAAAAGAAAAAACATATAAAAAGAAGAAGAAAATGGACTTGGGGAATTAAACATACATTTATTAATTTATGTCATTTAGTTTATTTCACCTGTACATGTTTTTGTGTGTATGTATGGGGTGAGATTTTACATATAAAAATTCTCATGTCCATCAAGCATTGACTAAGTAACACCTTGTGGTTAATGATGGTGGTACATAGCAGCAATTAAAGCTCAGCTACAAGTTGCTTGATTCCTTCCACCTTTTGACCATTACGTATGATACTGACTGTGGGTCTGTCATCTATGGCTCTTATTATTTTGAGGTATTTTCCTTCAACACTTAGTTTATTGAGAGTTTTTAACATGAAGGAATGTTGAATTTTATGAAAGATCTTTTCTGCTTCTATTGAGACAACCATGTGGTTTTTGTCTTTAGTTCTGTTTATGTGATGAATTACATATATTGATTTGTATATGTTAAACCAACCTTGCTTGCATCCTGGGGATGAAGCCAACTTGATCATGGTGGATAAGCTTTTTGATGTGATGCTGGATTCAGCTTGCCAGTATTTTATTGAGTGTTTTTGGATTGATGTTCATCATGGATACTGGCCTGATTTCCGTTTTGTTGTTGTTGTTGTTGTTGTAGTATCTCTGCCAGGTCTTGGTATCAGGATGATGCTTTTCCTCATAAAATGAGTTAGGAAGGAGTCCCTCCTTTTCAATTGTTTGAAATAGTTTCAGAAGAAATATTACCAGCTCCTCTTTATACCTCTGGTAGAATTAAGCTATAATCCTTCTAATCCTGGGCTTTTTTTTTTTTTTGTAGGCTATTTATTACTGCCTCAATATCAGAACTCATTATTGGTCTATTCAGGGACTCAACTTCTTCCTGGTTCAGTCTTGGGAGGGTGTATATATCCAGCAATTTATCCATTTCTTCTGGATTTTCTAGTATATTTGCATAGAGGTGTTTACAGTATTTTCTGATGGTTTTTCATATTTTCATGGCGTCAGTGGTGATATCCCCTTTATTGTTTCTAATTGTCTCTATTTGATTCTTCTTTTTTTCTTTATTAGTGTAGCTAGTAGTCTATCTATTTTACTTTTTTTTTTAAAAAAAAAAAAAAAACCAGCTCCTGGATTTGCTGATTTTTTGAAGGGTTTTTGATGTCTCTATCACCTTTATTTCTCCTCTGATCTTGGTTATTTCTTGTCTTCTGCTAGCTTTGGGAATAGTTTTTTATTTGTGATGTTAGGGTGTTGACTTGAGATCTTTCTAGCTTTTTGATGTGAGCATATAGTACTATAAATTTTCCCCTTAACACTGCTTTCGCTGCATTCCAGAGATTCTGGTATGTTGTCTCTTTGTTCTCATTGGCTTCAAAGAACTTCTTGATTTCTGCCTTATTATTTACCTAGGAGTCATTCAGGATCAGGTTTTTCAATTTCTATGTAGTGGTGTGGTTTTGAGTGAGTTTCTTAATCTTGAGTTCTAATTTGATTGCACTGTGTTCTGAGAAACTGTTATGATTTCAGTTTTTTGCATTTGCTGAGTGTTTTACTTAAGATTACGTATTCACCTATAGTAAGTTCTGTGTGGTGATGAGAGCAATGTATATTCTGTTGAATTTGGGTAGAGAGTTTTGTAGATATTTATAAGGTCCACTCGATTCAGATCTGAGTTCAGGTCCTGAATATTTTTGTTAATTTTCTGTCTCTATAATCTGTCTAATATTGTCAGCGGGGTATTAAAGTCTCCCGCTATTATTGTATGGGAGTCTAAGTTTCTCTGTAGGTCTCTAAGAACTTGTTTTAAGAATCTGGGTACCCCATTATTGGGTGCATATATATTTAGGATAGTTAACTCCTCTTGTTGAATTGAACCCTTTACCATTATGTAATGCCCTTCTTTGTGTCTTTTATCTCTGTTGGTTTAAAGTCTGTTTTGTCAGAAACTACAAAAAAACCCTGCTTTTTTCTGTTTTCCATTTGCTTGGTAAATTTTCATCCATCCCTTTATTTTGAGCCTATTTGTGTGTCTGCATGTGAGATGGGTCTGTTGAATACAGCATACTGATGGGTCTTGACTCTATCCAGCTTGCCATTTTGTGTCCTTGAATTGGGGCATTTCGCCCATTTACATTTAAGGTTAATGTCGTTATTTGTGAATTTGTTCCTGTCATCATGATGCTAGTGGTTATTTTGTAGATTGGTTTATGTAGTTGCTTAATAGTGTTCTTGGTCTGTGTACTTCAGTGTGTTTTTGTAGTACCTGGTAACGGTTTTTCCTTTCCATATTTAGTGCTTCCTTCAGGAGCTCCTGCTAGGCAGGCCTGGTGGTGATGAATTCCCTCAGCATTTGCTCATCTGAAAAGGGTCTTATGTCTTTTTTGTTTATGAAGCTTAGTGTGGCTGGATATGAAATTCTGGGTTTGAAATTCTTTTCTTTAAAAATGTTGAGTCGGGTGGGGTGGCTCATGCCTGTAATCCCAGCACTTTGGGAGGCCAAGGCAGGTGGATCACAAGGTCAAGAGATCGAGACCATCCTGGCTAACATGGTGAAACCCCATCTCAACTAAAAATGCAAAAAATTAGCCGGGCGTGGTGGCAGGCGCCTGTAGTCCCAGCTACTCGGGAGGCTGAGGCAGGAGAATGGCGTGAACCCAGGAGGCAGAACTTGCAGTGAGCCAATCTTGCCACTGCACTCCAGCCTGGGTAACAGAGTAAGACTCCATCTCAAAAAAAAAAAAAAATTGTAGAATATTGGCCCCCAATCTCTTCTGGCTCGTAGGGTTTCCACTGAGAGATGCACTGTTAGTCTGATGGGCTTCCCTTTGTAGGTGACCTGGTCTTTCTCTCTGGCTGCCCTTAACATTTTTTCTTTCATTTCAACCTTGGAGAATCTTCTCATGGAGTATCTTACTGGGGTTATCTGAATTTCTGAATTTGAATGTCGGCCTGTGTTGCTAGGTTGGGGAAGTTCTTCTGGATGATATCCTGAAGTATGTTTTCCAATTAGCATCCATTCTTCCCATCTCTTTCAGTTACCCCAGCCACTTGTAAGTTTGGTCATTTTACATAATCCCATATTTCTCAGAGGTTTTGTTCATTTTTTGTTTGTTTGTTTGTTCTTTATTCTTGTCTGCCTGTCTTATTTCAGTAAGATGGTCTTCAAGCTCTGAGATTTTTCCTTGGTCTATTCACCTAGTGATACTTGTGATTGCATTGTGAAGTTCCTGTGTTGTGTTTTTCAGCTCCATTAGGTCATTTATATTCTTCTATAAACTGGATTTTCTGGTTGTCGGCTCCTGTAATGTTTTATCATGGCTCTTAGCTTCTTTGCATTGGGTTGGAACATGCTTCATTAGCTCAGCAAAGTTTATTATATCCCACCTGCTAAAGTCTACTTCTGTCAATTCATCCATCTCAGCCTCAGCTCAGTTCTGTGCCCATACTGGAGAGGTGTTGCAATCATTTGGAGGAGAAGAGGCACTCTGGCTTTTTGAGTTTTCAGTGTTTTTGCTGTGATTCTT